GTCTAGTCTATAGTCTAGTCTATCTCTAGTCTATAGTCTAGTCTATAGTCTAGTCTATAGTCTAGTCTATAGTCTAGTCTATAGTCTAGTCTATAGTCTAGTCTATAGTCTAGTCTATAGTCTAGTCTATAGTCTAGTCTAGTCTAGTCTAGTCTAGTCTATAGTCTAGTCTATAGTCTAGTCTATAGTCTAGTCTATAGTCTAGTCTATAGTCTAGTCTATAGTCTAGTCTATAGTCTAGTCTATGTCTAGTCTATAGTCTAGTCTATAGTCTAGTCTATAGTCTAGTCTATCTATAGTCTAGCCTATAGTCTAGTCTATAGTCTAGTCTATGGTCTAGTCTATAGTCTAGCTATAGTCTAGTCTATAGTCTAGTTCTAAGTCTAGTCTATAGTCTAGCCTCTAGTCTAGTCTAGTCTAGTCTATGGTCTAGTCTATAGTCTAGTCTATAGTCTAGTCTATAGTCTAGTCTATAGTCTAGTCATAGTCTAGTCTATAGTCTAGTCTATAGTCAGTCTATAGTTAGTCTATAGTCTAGTCTATAGTCTAGTCTATAGTCTAGTCTATAGTTCTAGTCTAGTAGTCTAAGTCTAGTCTAGTTTAGTCTATAGTCTAGTCTATAGTCTAGTCTATAGTCTAGTCTATAGTCTAGACTATAGTCTAGACTATAGTCTAGTCTATAGTCTAGTCTATAGTCTAGTCTATAGTCTAGTCTATAGTCTAGTCTATAGTCTAGTCTATAGCCTAGTCTATAGTCTAGTCCAACGGTTCCCAAAAGGGGGTCCGCGGACCCCTAGTGGTCCGTAGCAAAATCCTAGGGGGTCCGCGAAGACGAACGAAAAAAATCATGAATAAAAAATATTCTCTATATGTTACAAAATATTAAAAATATCTCCAAATTTTTCATAAATACTAAAATACACAATTTTTATTCAATAATCCCAGATTTGTTGGTGACTCTTTGAATTTTATTGTTTCGGTCGTTTATCAGGATGAAGCTAGGCGCTACAAATTTATTGTTTCACTTTTATAAAGTAAAGTATTACATGATTTGTAATTTTTATAAATATATATGTATCGAAATAAATGTTTTTATAGCAGACGGATAATGATTTGCCTTAGAATTAAATACTGATACTAGTATCCCGGAATATGAAGTTAGGTCACATTTCATAATATTTTTTTAAATTGTAAGCAAAAGTGTTAATCTAGTTAATTTTAAATATAAATATTCCATTCCAACGTGATACACAGATTTTAACTTCATTTTGTTGTCCAATATTATTAAATCAACATCAGAAAATTCATAGCGTTTTGCGTAAATAGTCAAAACCACGCAGTAAAATAATTCGTAGGTATTTTAAAATTCAAATTTAAGATCCAAATTCACAGTACATTCGCAAAGAGTTCAGGTCATATTTTATGTGGGTAACGCATTCCGCAACAACATCGAAGAAGTCTAACTTTCACATATTTTCCCGAAAACTTAGCTTACATACTCAGCTCACTCCTATGCAATCGCAAAAAAATTTAGAAACATGACTCTTTAAGCCATGTCGACAATACTTGTTAAAGAAACCTTTTCTCTATCTTGACGAGAAATGAACATGAAAGCTCTCACGATCATAAAATTAAACATCATGTTAGAAGTCATTCTATATTTAAAACCATGAAATTGAAAACATCTCCGAAATACTAAATGTTCTCAATGTACGGGAATATTTTATAGGGTTTATGGACCAGGACTAAGACAATTTTCGGACGAACAATTACACAGTGATTCAGCAAAAAAATGCAGGGGTTCTCATATACCAATTCCATTTCGTTATAGTCCATAGAGTAGGAATTTAATTTAATTTAATTTTTCCCGATCACTTCGTTTAGTTCCTTTTTAAGAGCAAAAGTTGTGAAAAAGAGCTATTTTTGAAGTTTTAACTTTAAAAAAATATATGTCTGGTAGTTTGCAACCGATTTTCAAATTGGATATTTTGTTTTAAAGATACAAGTGTTGTCTTTCAACCCAAAAAAATAAATCCAAAATTTATGATTAATGTCTTGGTTACGGCCATTTAAGTAAAAAAACTCACACTTTTTTCACAATTTTTAATTTTCATACTGCTCTACGTTGGCCATGAAGCAATAACTTTAGCTTTTATTACATTTGAAAAAAGCCACATTAAGTTGGGTTTCCAATGATGGTCAATTTATGATAATCGATGAAAAAGGTTATGAGTTGTGCTAAGTTTTATAAAAATATAGTATATTTCTTCCATACAAAAACGTTCATGTTTCTGGTTTTCTTTGTAACAAGTTTAAAAAATGTTTATAAACATTTTTATACAAAAATTAATTTGTATGGAGAAAACCAAAAATTTTTCATAGATTTTTATGAAATAACAAGTTTTAGAAACCTTCCTTTATGTGATTCTTCAGGAAAGTAATAAAAGATGAACTCACTGCCTCATGGTCAAAGTAGAGCATGATGAAAATGAAAATTTTTTAAAAAGTGTGAGTTTTTTTACTTAAACGACCGTAACTCAGACATTTGACCATAAATTTTGGATTTCTTTTTTTGGATTAAAAGACACTTGTATCATTAAAAAAAAAAATCGGATTTGAAAATCGGATGAAAACTACTAAACTTATGATTTTTCAAATTTAAAACTTCAAAAATGGCTCTTTTTCGCATCTTTTGCTCTTAAAAAGTAAGTTAACGAAGTGATAGGGGAAAACTAAAAATATATTCGTTCTCTATGGACTATAACGAAATAGAATTAGTATATGAGAACGCCTGCATTTTATTTTTCTTCACTTTTGTATCACAGTGTTATTTATAACAATAAGATATCAAAATATGTATGGGGGTCCGTGAAATTAAATAAATTCCTCAAGGGGTCCGCGAAGTAAAAAATGGTGGGAACCGCTGGTCTAGTCTATAGTCTAGTCTATAGTCTAGTCTATAGTCTAGTCTATAGTCTAGTCTATAGTCTAGTCTATAGTCTAGTCTATAGTCTAGTCTATAGTCTAGTCTATAGTCTAGTCTATAGTCTAGTCTATAGTCTAGTCTATAGTCTAGTATAGTCTAGTCTATAGTCTAGTCTAGTCTAGTCTAGTCTATAGTCTAGTCTATAGTCTAGTCTATAGTCTAGTCTATAGTCTAGTCTATAGTCTAGTCTATAGTCTAGTCTATAGTCTAGTCTATAGTCTAGTCTATAGTCTAGTCTATAGTCTAGTCTATAGTCTAGTCTATAGTCTAGTCTATAGTCTAGTCTATAGTCTAGTCTATAGTCTAGTCTATAGTCTAGTCTATAGTCTAGTCTATAGTCTAGTCTATAGTCTAGTCTATAGTCTAGTCTATAGTCTAGTCTATAGTCTAGTCTATAGTCTAGTCTATAGTCTAGTCTATAGTCTAGTCTATAGTCTAGTCTATAGTCTAGTCTATAGTCTAGTCTATAGTCTAGTCTATAGTCTAGTCTATAGTCTAGTCTATAGTCTAGTCTATAGTCTAGTCTATAGTCTAGTCTATAGTCTAGTCTATAGTCTAGTCTATAGTCTAGTCTATAGTCTAGTCTATAGTCTAGTCTATAGTCTAGTCTATAGTCTAGTCTATAGTCTAGTCTATAGTCTAGTCTATAGTCTAGTCTATAGTCTAGTAGTCTAGTCTATAGTCTAGTCTATAGTCTAGTCTAGTCTAGTCTATAGTCTAGTCTATAGTCTAGTCTATAGTCTAGTCTATAGTCTAGTCTATAGTCTAGTCTATAGTCTAGTCTATAGTCTAGTCTATAGTCTAGTCTATAGTCTAGTCTATAGTCTAGTCTATAATCTAGTCTATAGTCTAGTCTATATTCTAGTCTATAGTCTAGTCTATAGTCTAGTCTATAGTCTAGTCTATAGTCTAGTCTATAGTCTAGTCTATAGTCTAGTCTATAGTCTAGTCTATAGTCTAGTCTATAGTCTAGTCTATAGTCTAGTCTATAGTCTAGTCTATAGTCTAGTCTATAGTCTAGTCTAGTCTAGTCTGTAGTCTAGTCTATGTAGATATAGTCTAGTCTATAGTCTAGTCTATAGTCTAGTCTATAGTCTAGTCTATAGTCTAGTCTATAGTCTAGTCTATAGTCTAGTCTATAGTCTAGTCTATAGTCTAGTCTATAGTCTAGTCTATAGTCTAGTCTATAGTCCAGTCTATAGTCTAGTCTATAGTCTAGTCTGTAGTCTAGTCTATAGTCTAGTCTATAGTCTAGTCTATAGTCTAGTCGTCTAGTCTATAGTCTAGTCTATAGTCTAGTCTATAGTCTAGTCTATAGTCTAGTCTATAGTCTAGTCTATAGTCTAGTCTATAGTCTATATTCTAGTCTATAGTCTAGTCTATAGTCTAGTCTATAGTCTAGTCTATATTCTAGTCTATAGTCTAGTCTATAGTCTAGTCTATAGTCTAGTCTATAGTCTAGTCTATATTCTAGTCTATAGTCTAGTCTATAGTCTAGTCTATAGTCTAGTCTATATTCTAGTCTATAGTCTAGTCTATAGTCTAATCTATAGTCCAGTCTATAGTCTAATCTATAGTCTAGTCTATAATCTAGTCTAGTCTATAGTCTAGTCTATATTCTAATCTATAGTCTAGTCTTTAATCTATTCTATAGTAATCTAGCTTTTTCGCAACAAAGTTAAAAAATTCCCAATTTCCCAAATTGAGGTAGTGGCATTACTGTAAGCTGTTGCCATTTAGTATTTAAGGCCTCCTAGAAGTATGCAGCAGTTGAAGTCATCAGTTGTTCTCAAACTTTATTATTCATTAGCTATTAATTTACGCTAGAATCTATGCTATACATTTTTGTAAGTGATAAAAACTGAATTCAATTGTTAAATAATTCTGCTTTAATGAAAAGTCAAACAAATTCAAAATGTTTTAAGAAATCCTTATCGTCGTAAAATATTTGTTAATTTTTTCACATTTCTTTTAATCTTATAATCCAAATCATTAAAAAAGCAATTATTTTAAATTTTGTACTTAAAAAACTTTGTGTGGGTTAATTTTTATTTCTTTCTTTCGTTTTTAATTTTTCACAATATACACAATACTTAAGATACTTATCAAAAAACAAAAGTATGTATATGCCAATAAAAATTTAAATAAATAAAAAAATAATAATATTTATGCGTATTAAAGTGTGAGTGTTTTTGTGTGTGTGTGTGAATATAAAACAATTAAAATAAAAAAATGTATTTCTTAAAAACTAAACTTAATTAAAATACAATGCGATTTTTATGTGTTTTTTCTCTTTCTTCTCTTTTTTGGTTTCGACAAAACTACTTATTGTGTTAAAAACTTTTCTATAGGAACTTGTGAAAAGAAATTATTAACATGTTCCACTAAAATGGGTGCCCATTGTTCACGGGTAGCTGGTATGCCGACACGAGTTATTTCGGGTAAGTTTTCATTAACTAAATTTAAGATCATGGTGTCTAAAGGAGGGGGGAGGGTTGACAGAAAATATGAAAATGTTAAAAACAATTTAGGAATATATTTTATATCAATTTATACGTACTTAAGTTACGATCGGAGAAAATTCCATTCGCTATAATTTTGGCATCTCCTATGGCCACATTGGCATTAAGACGATGTAATTGCAATCTGATGCTGTTGTCACGGTTGATGAAACTGCCGTCAGTTAAAACGGTAGCGCGAACATTATCTGAAAGAAAAAGCATTTTAATACAAAATGGCTCAAGAATCTACTGTCTAGTCTTTACTCTAGTCTATAGTCTAGTCTATAGTCTAGTCTATAGTCTAGTCTATAGTCTAGTCTATAGTCTAGTCTATAGTCTAGTCTATAGTCTAGTCTATAATCTAGTCTATAGTCTAGTCTATAATCTAGTCTATAGTCTAGTCTATAGTATAGTCTATAGTCTAGTCTATAATCTAGTCTATAGTCTAGTCTATAGTCTAGTCTATAGTCTAGTCTATAGTCTAGTCTATAGTCTAGTCTATAGTCTAGTCTATAGTCTAGTCTATAGTCTAGTCTATAGTCTAGTCTATAGTCTAGTCTATAGTCTAGTCTATAGTCTAGTTCTATAGTCTAGTCTATAGTCTGGTCTATAGTCTGGTCTATCGTCTAGTCTATAATCTGGTCTATAGTCTAGTATAATCTAGTCTATAGTCTAGTCTATAGTCTAGTCTATAGTCTAGTCTATAGTCTAGTCTATAGTCTAGTCTATAGTCTAGTCTATAGTCTAGTCTATAGTCTAGTCTATAGTCTAGTCTATAGTCTAGTCTATAGTCTAGTCTATAGTCTAGTCTATAGTCTATCTATAGTCTAGTCTATAGTCTAGTCTTTAGTCTAGTCTTAGTCTAGTCTATAGTCTAGTCTATAGTCTAGTCTAGTCTATAGTCTAGTCTATAGTCTAGTCTATAGTCTAGTCTATAGTCTAGTCTATAGTCTAGTCTATAGTCTAGTCTATAGTCTAGTCTATAGTCTAGTCTATAGTCTAGTCTATATATAGTCTAGTCTAGTCTAGTCTAGTCTATAGTCTAGTCTATAGTCTAGTCTATAGTCTAGTATATAGTCTAGTCTATAGTCTAGTCTATAGTCTAGTCTATAGTCTAGTTATAGTCTAGTCTATAGTCTAGTCTATAGTCTAGTCTATTAGTCTAGTCTATAGTCTAGTCTATAGTCTAGTCTATAGTCTAGTCTATAGTCTAGTCTATAGTCTAGTCTATAGTCTAGCTATAGTCTAGTCTATAGTCTAGTCTATAGTCTAGTCTATAGTCTAGTCTATAGTCTAGTCTATAGTCTAGTCTATAGTCTAGTCTATAGTCTAGTCTATAGTCTAGTATAGTCTATAGTCTATTCTATAGTCTAGGTCTATAGTCTAGTCTATAGTCTAGTCTATAGTCTAGTCTATAGTCTAGTCTATAGTCTAGTCTATAGTCTAGTCTATAGTCTAGTCTATAGTCTAGTCTATAGTCTAGTCTATAGTCTAGTCTATAGTCTAGTCTATAGTCTAGTCTATAGTCTAGTCTATAGTCTAGTCTATAGTCTAGTCTATAGTCTAGTCTATAGTCTAGTCTATAGTCTAGTCTATAGTCTAGTCTATAGTCTAGTCTATAGTCTAGTCTATAGTCTAGTCTATAGTCTAGTCTATAGTCTAGTCTATAGTCTAGTCTATAGTCTAGTCTATAGTCTAGTCTATAGTCTAGTCTATAGTCTAGTCTATAGTCTAGTCTATAGTCTAGTCTATAGTCTAGTCTATAGTCTAGTCTATAGTCTAGTCTATAGTCTAGTCTATAGTCTAGTCTATAGTCTAGTCTATAGTCTAGTCTATAGTCTAGTCTATAGTCTAGTCTATAGTCTAGTCTATAGTCTAGTCTATAGTCTAGTCTATAGTCTAGTCTATAGTCTAGTCTATAGTCTAGTCTATAGTCTAGTCTATAGTCTAGTCTATAGTATAGTCTATAGTCTAGTCTATAGGCTAGTCTATAGTCTAGTCTATAGTCTAGTCTATAGTCTAGTCTTTAGTCTAGTCTATAGTCTAGTCTATAGTCTAGTCTATAGTCTAGTCTATAGTCTAGTCTATAGTCTAGTCTATAGTCTAGTCTATAGTCTAGTCTATAGTCTAGTCTATAGTCTAGTCTATAGTTTAGTCTAAAGTCTAGTCTGTAGTCTAGTCTATGGTCTAGTCTAAAGTCTAGTCTATAGTCTAGTCTATAGTCTAGTCTATAGTCTAGTCTATAGTCTAGTCTATAGTCTAGTCTATAGTCTAGTCTATAGTCTAGTCTATAGTCTAGTCTATAGTCTAGTCTATAGTCTAGTCTATAGTCTAGTCTATAGTCTAGTCTATAGTCTAGTCTATAGTCTAGTCTATAGTCTAGTCTATAGTCTAGTCTATAGTCTAGTCTATAGTCTAGTCTATAGTCTAGTCTATAGTTAGTCTATAGTTTAGTCTAAAGTCTAGTCTGTAGTCTAGTCTATGGTCTAGTCTAAAGTCTAGTCTATAGTCTAGTCTATAGTCTAGTCTATAGTCTAGTCTATAGTCTAGTCTATAGTCTAGTCTATAGTTTAGTCTAAAGTCTAGTCTGTAGTCTAGTCTATGGTCTAGTCTAAAGTCTAGTCTATAGTCTAGTCTATATTCTAGTCTATATTCCAGTCTATATTCTAGTCTATAGTCTAATCTATAGTCTAGTCTATAGTCTAGTCTATAGTCTAGTAGTGGCAATTTTACTTCACCTACCAATTGTTATATTAAATGGTCCCTTTGGCACCAATCTCAAACCGCCAAATTTAACATCAGCCTTAAACTGGCCATCAGCCTTGATCTGTTTGCATTCAACACCCAGTTTCACAATGAAACCATTGTCGGTAAAATTTCCCACAAATGATTTGACTTGTAAATTGGAAATGCCATGGATTTGCATGTTCTTAATGAGTAGACCACCCTGGATGCCATCGTTGGCATAACGGAAAATACCACGTCTATAGAAATAGGGATCAATAGAACCCAAACCATATTCAGGTAAACCGGCCTAGAAATAATAAAAAAGAAATAAAATTTAGTAAATTTAAACAATATCATTTAGATTTCCTCTTGTAAGACCAACCTTCAGTTCGGGTACCACTTGTGTCATTAAATTTTTAATACATTCATTCTTCTGAGGATCACTTAGAGAACAAGGTGTGATTGGAAAACTTCTGGCTGTAAAGAAAATAAATAGAGATTTGTTAAGAAATGTTTAGAATTTTAATTGTAACTAAACAAAAGACTTAAGCGACATGCTGTCATGGCTAAACAAAGTAGCTTTATATCTTAATCATTATTTATTTTATGTTCAAACTAAACCTTTCTAATAACCTTTCTGTTAATGTTTATGTTCCCGGTAATCTGTAGCATTCCATTGTGCTGTTCAGGGGTCATTGTTATTATTTCATGGTTGGGTTTTCGTTTTCTCTCTCTAAACACATTTTCATTTTTCTATTAACTCTATTCAGTCATTAAGGCCTGACTGACCCCTGCTAAGAAAAACCTTTCTATTATTATTGTTGTTTTTTTTTATTACAAACATGCGTTTGTCATTACATTGTACTTTAACTTTATATTTATTATTGGTTGTAAATTGTATTATTACCTTGTAATTTGTGTGGCCCTTAAGTTCATTGTCATTCGTATTTAGAGTTTTATTTCGTTTTTTTTTTTTTCATTTTTGATTTCTATTGAAATGAAACTGAAAGTTGTTTTGTTTTAAAATTTAACTCAGCTATAAAGGTAAAGGTCAGTGAACTATTAAATTTACATACTGGATTGTATGTTATTAAAGATAAAAATTTGCGTACGGAAGTCAAAGATTGGTGAAATAAATTAAATGAAATTTTGCTTTTCATTATGCAAAAAAAAAAAAAAAATAATAATAAAATCCTATTTTATTTGGGTTATAAACTTAACTGTAGACCAGACTTTTAATTAGACCAAGGAAAAGACTATAAACAAGACCATAGACAATGCTATAGGCAAGACTAGACTATAGAACAGACTATAGACTATAATATAAACAAGGCTATACTGTAGACAATACTATATGAAAGACCATATACAAGACTATAGACAATATTATAAACAAGACTATATGGAAGGCTATAGATTAGACTATAAAATAGACTAGACTATATAATAGATTATAGTCTAGACTATAGAGAAGACTGTAGATAAAGCTTTAGACATTACTATGGACATTGACTATAGACAAGACTATAGACAGGACAATAGATAGACTAAAGACAAGACTATATGCAACACTTAAGAAAAGACTACAGAAAAGACTATGGCCAAGACTATAGACAAGACTATAAACAAGACTATAGACAAGACTGTAGACAAGACTATAGACAATACTTAAGACTAGAATATACTATAGAATAAACTATATACATGACTATGGACTAGACTATAGACTAGACTATAGACTGTAGACTAGATTATAGACTAAACTATAGACTAGACTATAGACTAGACTATAGACTAGACTATAGACTAGACTATAGACTAGACTAGAGACTAGACTATAGACTAGACTATACACTAGACTATAGACTAGACTAGAGACTAGACTATAGACTAGACTATAGACTAGACTATAGACTAAACTATAGACTAGACTATAGACTATACTATAGACTAGACTATAGACTAGACTATAGACTAGACTATAGACTAGACTATAGACTAGACTATAGACTAGACTATAGACTAGACTATAGACTAGACTATAGACTAGACTATAGACTAGACTATAGACTAGACTATAGACTATAGACTAGACTATAGACTAGACCATAGACTAGACTATAGACTTGACTATAGACTAGACTATAGACTAGATTAGACTATAGACTAGACTATAGACTAGATCAGACTATAGACTAGACTATAGACTAGATTAGACTATAGACTAGACTAGACTATAGACTAGACTAGACTATAGACTAGACTATAGACTAGACTATAGACTAGACTATAGACTAGACTATAGACTAGACTATAGACTAGACTATAGACTAGACTATAGACTAGACTATAGACTAGACTATAGACTAGACTATAGACTAGACTATAGACTAGACTATAGACTAGACTATAGACTAGACTATAGACTAGACTAGACTATAGACTAGACTAGACTATAGACTAGACTAGACTATAGACTAGACTATAGACTAGACTATAAACTAGACTATAGACTAGACTATAGACTAGACTATAGACTAGACTATAGACTAGACTATAGACTAGACTATAGACTAGACTATAGACTAGACTATAGACTAAACTATGGACTAGACTATAGACTAGACTATGGACTAGACTATAGACTAGACTATAGACTAAACTATAGACTAGACTATAGACTAGACTATAGACTAGACTATAGACTAGACTATAGACTAGACTATAGACTAGACTATAGACTAGACTATAGACTAGATTATAGACTAGACTATAGACTAGACTATAGACTAGACTATAGACTAGACTATAGACTAGACTATAGACTAGACTATAGACTAGACTATAGACTAGACTGTAGACTAGACTATAGACTAGACTACAGACTAGACTATAGACTAGACTGTAGACTAGACTATAGACTAGACTATAGACTAGACTATAGACTAGACTATAGACTAGACTATAGACTAGACTATAGACTAGACTATAGACTAGACTATAGACTAGACTAGACTATAGACTAGACTAGACTAGACTATAGACTAGACTAGACTAGACTAGACTAGACTATAGACTAGACTAGACTATAGACTAGATTATAGACTAGACTATAGACTAGACTAGACTATAGACTAGACTAGACTATAGACTAGACTAGACTATAGACTAGACTATAGACTAGACTATTGATTAGACTATAGACTAGACTATAGACTAGACTATAGATTAGACTATAGACTAGACTATAGACTAGACTATAGACTAGACTATAGACAAGACTATAGACTTGACTATAGACTAGACTATAGACTAGACTATAGACTTGACTATAGACTAGACTATAGACTAGACTATAGACTATATACTAGGCTATAGACTAGAGTATAGACTAGGGTATAGACTAGACTATAGGCTAGACTATAGGATAGACTATAGACTAGAGTATAGACTAGTGTATAGACTAGACTATAGAATAGACTATAGAATAGACTATAGACTTGATTATAGACTAGACTTTACACTAGGCTATAGACATCATACACCAGTCTCGATATTGCTTAGATTATAGTTTAGACATTATAGACAAGACTATAAACTAGACTATAGACTAGACTATAGACTAGACTATAGACTAGACTATAGACTAGACTATAGACTAGACTATAGACTAGACATTATAGACAAGACTATAGATTAGACTATAGACTAGACTATAGAATAGACTATAGACTAGACTATAGACTAGACTATAGACTAGGCTATAGACATCATACACCAGACTCGATATTGCTTAGATTATAGTCTCGATCATAGACTGCAATTTCGATTATAAACTGGTTTGTAAACTGGATCATATATTAGACCTGGGTGTCGATCATAGATCACACGCTAGTCGCGATCATAGTGTACATTATAAATCTCTAGCATATATTAAAATCTACTCTCGATCATATAAAAGACGTCAAGTTTTGTTTTTCGATTATAGGGTTGGTTTACAATCTCGATCATGGACTTGATTATATTCTTAAACCATTTTAAACTATAACAAAATCACTACTACATATAATTTATTCTAAAATTTCTGCGTCTTAATTTAAAATCAAATAGAAACATTTTGTTAAATTTTAGCACATGGTTGTCTGCTTTTTAATAAATTTGTCACATTAATTTCTGCTAATTTAATAAGATATATACTTTTGTTTACTAAAATCTTAAGAAGTTAAAAAAAAAACCTGTTAAAAATGTTGACAAGTAAATACAAATATAGACTTTATGCCAAAAAAAAACAAATAAAAACTTAAAGAGAAAAAAATTTTAAATTAAATTAACATTTGGGTCAAGATCAAAAATTTATCTAAATAAATTTGCAGTGTTTTAAGCAGAGAAGTTAAAAAGCAGAAATAATACAAAAATTTTAACAAATTATAATAAGTTGACAGCAGTTGCCAAAAAACCGTTAAACCTTTTCATGAAGTAATAAGTCAATGTAACAAACTTAATGAAAGCTTTAAAAAAAAAGGGGAACTTAAATAGAAGTTGTACTTTATAAACATTTTTCATTTTTTTTTTTGTTTAATAAAGATAAGAAATTTTATTTGTTCATTTAAGTTTTGAAGGTTATGCGAGTGTATAAATTGAGAAATTTTCTGTAAATTTCATCAATGCAAATAAATGTTTGTTTAAACTACTTAAAAAAAAAAACTTAATAAAGTGTAAGATTTCAATTAACACTTGTTAAACGCAGGCGTGTTTTTGCTTTTTTTGGTTTTGTTGAAATGAAAGATAAACCTTTTAATGAAATACAATTAATGTTTTTTTCATATGATTAAAAAAATACCATAAAACTAACAACTGTAGTTAAGGTGTAAACTAAAAAAAAATATTACGCAAAATTTTACATGAAGGTGTTAAACGAGACCAACTGATTTTTGTTGAAATTAGGGTGAGTGGGAGAGGTAATAAAACTATAAAACAATATAATTAAGTTTTAAAAATTATTATTTGTATTAATTCAACTTTATCGTAAATTTTTCTTATATCTAGGTTTTTCGGAATTCAAAAAATTTAATTTTATCTGAAAGCTAATGCTTTAAGCTAATTTTGATTTTTAATTATTTAAGAAAATTTTGAGTTTTACATATTTTTATTAATTTTTCAAACTTTATCGTAATTATTTTTACTATTTACGTTATAAGAAAAACAAACATTTTAATTTTGTATGAAAGCTAAAAATTAATACTAATTTTTGTTTTTAGAAATTTAGGAAAATTTTGACTTTGAAACAATTTTATTAATTTTTTAAACTTTATCGTAAATTTTTCTGCTATTTAGGTTTTATTGAATTTAAAAATTTTAATTTTATTTGAAAGCTTATATTTTAAGCTAATTTCGAATTTCGATAATTTAAGCAAAATTTGAGTTTGAAACATTTTTATTAATTTTTTAAACTTTATTATAATTATTTATAATATTTA